CTGAGTGTGTCCTACGACGTTACCAGTTTTGAATCTTTTGTCAGGAACACAGAGAAGTACACACCACCGCTCATCCTGTGGACCCTAACTCTGGGGCCAGGTGTGAGCTAGGCCAGGGAGGCTGCGGCCACGGCACGCTGTGTCAATAGCACCAGATGGCAACTGAAGGCTTCCATTCTTCTGTATTGAAAACATTGTATTATCTTGGGGCACCTGGTGGCTCAGTCGGTTGAGCGTCTGACTCTTGATGTCTGAGCGTCTTGAGCTCTGGTCATGATCTCACTGTTGGTAAGTTTGAGCCCCTCATCAGGCTCCATGTGGGCAAGGAGCCTGCTTGGGATTCTCTCCCTTTCTCTCTGCCCCCCCCCCCCCAAAGATAATAAAAACATTGTATTATCTAGAACTTAGAGCAAACATAAGAAGACAGAAAAGTATAATAAACATCTGAGCATGACCCAGCACCCTTTGACCATCCATCCTGCCCCGTCACAGGCCCACCCACCTCACCATCAGGGCAGTGACACCCTTCCACTTCTGCTAAGAAGGTCATTCTTGCTGGAAAGCAGGGGCAGGGGCCTTTCTCTTTAAGGAGCTAGATGGTAAATATTTTAGGCTTTGCAGCCCACACACCTGCCATCATGACCACTCAGCCCTGCTTGGCACAATAGATGATGTGGAAACAAGTAAGAGCAGCTGTGTTTCAATAAAACTTTACTTAAGGACGCCGAAGATTGAATTTCATCTGATTTTCACGTGTCACAAAATCTCCTCTTTCGTCCTTTGGTTCCTTCCCCCACCACAACCACTGAAAAGTGTAGAAGTCATTTTTGCTCACAGACAATACAAAAATGGGCAGAGGGCTCAGATTTGGCCCAGAGTTTGCCAACCATGAGGGTGGTGAACAAATTGGGGCGGGGGGGGGACGAGAAGACATGTAAGATGACCCTCCCTAGGCTACTGCACGAATCCACAGAGAGAAGAAGAGCGGTAAGCTTACGATGTGCTTGTTAGGGACCATCAATTCCACGTTTATTGATGACCTACTATGCCCTAAGTGCAACGTTAGCGCTGAAGATAGATAAATAAATGAAGAGCAAGTAGTTTTTGCCATCAAGTCCATATGGGGAGACAGGTGGGTTGTTTTCTATATCATATGGTAAGACCCATGACAAATACAAAAGCAAACAATATACATGTATACATATTCATATATCCATGCATATATAAAAATGGCTATAGAATATGGAGGAGATATGGATTAATTCTGCCTGGGAAATGTCAAACATGACCTCCAGGGGAAGTGCCTTCCATTTAGGTAGGTACTTAGAAAGGTGAGTCAAGGTAGGGCAAGAGGGAAAGGTATTCAAGGCCAAGGGAAAACATGGATAGATGTCAGGAGGCTTCGGACAGAAGCCTGGGCCCCATCCAGCTCTTGGATTACCGCTGTCTCGAGGGCAATGCAGGCCTAAGTCTGGAGGCACCTGTAAAAATGGAGGCTCTGAGGCTTCAGGAGGGAGGACCATTTGTGGAACATTAAATGGTGCTACGTGGTCCAGCCGGCTGCGCCTTTCATCTCTGACAACTCCCCTCCTCAGTCACTCAGCCCCAGCCCCGCTGGCCTTTTTGCTGCATAAGACGCTCCGCATGCTCCTCCTTAGGCCTTTGGCCTTGCTGTTCTCACTGCCTGGAGTCTGAATCCCCCTCCTGCGTTCCTCAGATGCCCTCTCTGACCACCCTAGGTTAAACAGATAATACTCTCTTAGGTTTACCAGGAGCTATGCCCCTGGGTAGCGATGATTATTCCCTCCCTTAAAAAAAATTATTTTTAAATGTTAATTTATTTTTAAGAGACAGCAACAAAGAACAAGGAGGGGAGGGGCAGAGAGGGGGGGAAGACACAGAATCTGAAGCAGGCCCCAGGCTCCGAGCTGTCAGCACAGAGCCGGACGCAGGGCTCGAACCCACAAACCGTGAGATCATGACCTGAGCCGAAGTAGTGTCCGACTGAGCTCCCCAGATGCCCCCTCCCTCTTTTGCTGTCTAGCTGCTCCTAGAATACGAGCTTCATGACATGAGAGTATGTGTTCCATTTGCTGTTGTCTCTTGAGTCTAGACCAGTGTCTTACAAAGTACAGGCATAAGAATATTAGTGACACGCATCACCTAGAGGTGTGGGAAGAAAGTTGCGAAGGACACAGATGTGCTGCGGGCAGGATGGGGCTCCCAGCATTGCAGGGGCTAAGGAAGGACCCTCACCTCCCAGGACAGGGGAGTGATGCAAAGCTGGGATCCGCTGCGGGCATTGGGAGCTTGAGCATCAAACCCACGCCCAACAGGTAATAATTACACTTGGGGGGGGGGGGAGGTGAGCTCGAGGTACCCCTCCCCGCCTGGGCTATTCTTTCCAGGAGTTGCAGGGGGAATCCTAGAGCAGGGAGAAGCAGGGAGAGGCCCCAGACTGAGGAGGCAGGCACAGGCGGGAGTAAGCAAAACTTGAAACTTGGGAGAAAACAACCCATCCAAGAGCCAGACACGAACTGCACACCGTTTGAAGGAATGAAACCAAAGCATAGACAAGACTTATTTGGTTTCATGCTTCTATGATTAAAAAAATAAAGGAAAAAAACAAAAACAAAGCAAAACCCTCAACACAGACATGTCTGATGTGGGGCAGCAGGGAGTTCTCACGGGCTAGAAGTGAGTTTCGGGACAAGGTGCCAGCTGCCGGCCCCTCCCCGTGTCCTTTCCTCTGTGCCCTTGGGAAGGGCTTTTGTGGCAACAGGCAGTAATAGCACTGGGCCATCTTGTTACAGGTTTTCTCTTCTTGCTTCTCTTTCCATTATTATCATTTAATTAACAAGGCAGGGCTGCCCATGCTCGTACTAAAAATAATGTACCGTAGCGTGTGACGAGCTTTTTGGGGGAGAAAGACAGCTTTTCCATTGTTGAGAACTGGAGCGTTAGTGACCAGTGCCCAGGACTGTTTTTCCAGAGGACTGTGGATCATGATACCTTAGGGAGCTTGAGCATCTCTGTTTCTGAGATTTCTTTGTGTGCAAGAAAATAATGAAAACCAGTGTAATAAAAGGTCAGTTTATTTATTTTTGAGTGCTAAATGGTCCCTTTATGAGCATTGCTGGAAAGGATTCCCGCTGTGCTCAAACACGCCGGACTTCAGGGTGGGATGCCCCATGCATGGTCTTGGCGGCTTCACCCCCCAAGACGAGCACCTTGGGCTTTTCCCTGCCTTCTTTCTCTGATATTCCGGGTCTAACCTGTCAGGAAGTTCTATGGGGCTGGCCTTCAAAACACACCCCAAACGTGTCCCCCTTCAGCACCAGCCAGGGGTCCTCTCCCAGCCACTTCACGCTTGGCCTGTGTTTCTGCAAGAGCTTCTGGAAGGTTCTGAAACAGGAGTCAGGTCACCTGCTCCCGACCTCCTCAGGGCTCCCCACTTTGGTGGGAGCGAAGCCAAAGCCCTCAGGCTGGCCCGCAGGTGCCAGCGCCCATTGCCTGTGGGTCACCTTGCTGTCCCCCGCGGTCTCTGCAGCTGTCTGGGAACACGCCAGGTGGGCTCCCCGCACCTGGCTCCCTGTGAGGCCTTCCCGCCGGCCGCTTCCTCCTCCTGGAAGCCTTTCCTCCCGCATGTGCTCTGCTGCGGGATTCAGGTGTGCCACCGGGCAGCCTGCCTGGTCCACGGTCAGTGGAACCGCACCTGCCGGCTCCTCCCCCTACCCCCTTAATTTTGTCCTTATAACTGAACTGGTAACTCATGTAATCTATAGAAACTGATATAGTTTGCTATTGGTTTTCGCGCCCATCCGAGTTCTGTTCGGTTCATCGATGTATCCGTGGCACGAGGGACACCTGCACTCAGAACACGAAGTTTCATAAATTCGTGCAGAACGAACCATGGGGGGAGGCCTCTTTGCTAAAGTTAGGACACCCCCCCTGAGGCGGCTCCACCGCGAACCCCGGGTTTGGAGAACTCTAACTTTTATTTTTTAATTTAAAAAAATGTTTTATTTATTTCTGAGAGAGAAAGAGAGACAGCATGAGCAGGGGAGGGTCAGAGAGAGAGGGAGACACAGAATCTGAAACAGGCTCCAGGCTCTGAGCTGTCAGCACGGAGGCCGACGCGGGGCTTGAACCCACAAGCAGTGAGATCATGACCTGAGCCGAAGTCGGACGCTCAACCGACTGAGCCACCCAGGCGCCCCTGGAGAACTCTACCTTCTAACCGGATTAGCGCACTTCGTTACTGTCAGGTGTAGACACAGGTGTAGGGCGGTGCGGGGTCCTGGAGGCCGGGCGCCGGCAGGTGCTCTCCGCGCCCCACTTCTCAGGCTCTTGCAAGAGGCGCCTTCCTAGGGGCCACCCCTACTGGGGTTGCGCCAGCCCCCACTCCGGGCTGAGCATCCCCAGCTTCCGCGAGGCCCTACACACCCTCCGCCCCGTCCAGCGCCTGCCGCGGGGCCCGGTGTAGCGAGCGCCCCACAGGCCGAGTCCCCGACCCGCGTGAGCCGCAGAAAAGCGGCCCCTCCGAAGTCTGCTCCACATACGTTTAGCCGTTGTAGGCTTGTTTACTGTGACTGTGGTAAGAATACGCGCGCTCTACCTTGGGAGTCATTTTTCAATATAGTGTTTTCTAACTTGAAGCCTCTCAGACCGAAGTCTTACACTGGAATGTGGACGACGCGCAGCGACCGCGGTGAAGGCGCGCCCCCACCCCCGACGCCGCTCCCGCGCAGGCGCGTCCTCCGCGCCCGGCCCGCCCCGCCGCTCCCGCGCAGGCGCGTCCTCCTCGCTGGCCCCGCCCCACCTGCGCCGGACGCGCGGAGGTAGGCGGGGCGGAGGCGCTCGGGGGGCGGGGCGGAGGGCGCGCGCCGGGGAAGGGGAAGAGCGCGCTCTGGGCGCGGGGGGGCGGAGCGCGGAGGGCGCGCGGGGGGCGGAGCGCGGGCTGTCTTGGGCTGTGAGGAGACAAAGCCGCGTCGGGGCCGCGGGGGGTGGGCCTTGGGCTCGGTGGCGCCCCCGCCCGCGGGGAGGGCTTTGCCGACCGCCGACGCCGCGGACGCTTTGCCTCGCAACAGGTCGGCCGCCTTCCGGGAGCCTCGCCCTGCGCCGCCGCCCCCCGTTCCCGAGACCCGGGCGCCCCGCTCGGCTCGGGCCGCGGATCTCATGCGGTTCGGGTCCAACATGATGCCGGTAAGCGCGCGGGCCGGCGGCTGGTCCGCAGGCCGCGGCCCCCCCAGCCCATCCCCCACCCGGCCCCCTCGGGTCGCCGCGCTCCTCGACCCCGCCCGCAGGGAGCTGCGGGCGCGTAGCCACCCAAACTTTCCTTGCGCGTCTGCTTGCGTCCTCACTTCGTGCGGTTCTCGCGCGTCGAGACCTGGGGCCCCGGGATCTCGGTGCTTTGTTTTCTTAAAACTTTGTTGGAGCGAAGCGCGGAGCCTGCCCTTGCCTGAGGTCCGCTTGCGTGTCGCTCCTGGTGTGCGAGGGCGGCCCGGGGAGGGTCAGGTCGCGGGAGACCCGAGTGTCCGCGGCACGTTCGGCTCTCGGACCTCCCCCCCGAGACCCCGGACCCCCCCTGAGTCCCCGACTCCTCGAGCGTCCAAACCCATGAGTCCCCTGAACCCCCCCGAGCCCCAGTCTCCGACCCCTTGCCCCTCTGCTCCCCCGAGCCTCCGAACCCGCGAGCCCCCAGAACTCCCCCCGAGTCCCTGGCCCCCCGCCCTCCCAGCCCCTTGCCTGCCATCCCAGCCCCTTGCCTGCCATCCCCTTACCCCCGAGCCTCCGAACCCACGAACCCCTTGAACCTCCCCGGAGCCCCAGGCGCCCCGCCCCCTCTCAACCCCCCCTCCCCCCGCTCCGAGCCTCTGAACCCGCGAGTTCTCCGATCCTGACGAGACCACTCCCTCCCCCAGACTTCGGAGGTCCCTGGCCGCAGGGCTGATGCTGGAGCGCAGAGAGCCCGAGGGTGAGTGGGGGCGGGGGGCTCGTGCACGCGCCCCCCACCCCCACCCTCCGGAGGTCGTGCTCGCGCCTCTGCCCGGGACCCGGGGTCATTTTGCGGCCCGCGGCGTTTTCCTAAGCTTCCTGTGTTCGGACAAAGCAGCGGGCAACTTTTCTTCCCCTGCTTCGGAACGGAGTGTCGGCGCGGTGCGTCCGTTTGCAGTTAGAGGTGCAGCGTGGAAAGCTCTGTGCTCCGGCTGCCCACCTGTGTCGTGGGAGGGCGTCCTGACTTTCACGGTCTCGGCAAACTTAGTGTATTGCAATCGGTGATGGACTTTTCCACAGCCTCCAGGATTCAAGGAATTAGTGTTAATAGTATCGTGCATCCTGTTTTAGCTTAATACCCGTTTATAGAGTCAGGTTTGCGATGCGAGTGGACTATGGATGAGGGTGAAGGAATTTGCAATTAGAATTTTTATCCTTGGACTTATGTTTATCTTTCTTTTGAAATGAATTTTGCAGGTTGTCACTGAATTTTCCTAAAAATAGGAACAAGACAAGTACTGGTTGTTGCAAGGTGATTTTTTAAAAAATTTTTACTTAATTTTGAGAGGGAGAATTAGACAGAGTGTGTGAATAGGGGAGGGGCAAAGAGAGAGAGAGAGAGAGGGAGACAATAGAATCCAAAGCAGCTTTCAGGCTCTGAGCTGTTAGCACAGAGCCCAACGCGGGGCTGGAACCCACAAACGGGAGATCAGGACCTGAACGAAGTCAGTCCCCTAACAGATTAAGTAAGCTACCTAGGTGCCCCTTCAAAGTAATTTCTTAAGGATAGTTTCATGTCAGGGAATCCTTTGGGCTTTCTTAAAACTTGGGAGAGTTTTGGACGTCTGGGTGGCTGAGTGGGGTATGCCTATGACTCTTGATCTCAGCTCAGGTCTTGATCTCACGGTCATGAGATCAAGCCCCGTGCTGAGCATGAAGCCTACTTAGAAACAAAACTTAGGAGAGATTTTCTTCTCCCAGCCATGTACCAGGTCACTAGTGTATAAAGAGTTGCGCAGCTACCGAGACTGGCATGGTCCTTCTGATCGGTGCCCGTGCGCACTGGCTGTGAAGCCAGAACCTCAGCGTGTGCTCAGCCACAACTACCTTTGTGACCAGAATCCCCTTTTTTAAAAAAGGGATTTGTCTCCTAGTTTCACCATCTGTAAAATGGGGATGATAGTAACGCCAGCTCTCAGGGTGGTTGTGAGGATCGGGGTCCCTGTTTCTGAAGCAGCTAGTACCACCCAGCGTGGAGTAGGTTCTCATCAGACCTCTGGTGGGGACGCCAGAGTGGCTCAGTCAGTTAAGTGCCCAACTTCGGCTCAGGTCATTATCTCATAGTTCGTTGGTTCAAGCCCTGCGTTGGGCTCCGTGCTGAGAACTCAGAGCTTGGAGCTGGCTTCAGATTCTGTGTCCCCTCTCTCTCTGCCCCTCCCCCACCAGCGCTCTGTAGGTCTGTCTCTTTCAAAAATAAAGAAATAATTAAAAAAAAAAGACTGCGGGTGGGATTTGCGGTACTGGCCTCACCAGAGATTCGTAGCCTGTGGCAGGTAACGACTTGAAGCAGGTGTTCATTCAGTAACATGACTCTCTGTGTGTCTTTAAAATAGTTTGAGTGCTTGAAAATGAGCCTATTTTCTTAAATATTTTTCTTCTCTTTGGCTTTTAGTATACAGCACCTGGATTTTAATTTTAGCATTGAGTGAGGTTTTGCATTTTATTAACCAATTACTAAAAATATTAACCCAATTTATTAGGAAAAGGATTATAGTTAATACGAAAAGACAGATTGGCTCAGGATGTATACTGTTGTCTTGATGTGCTTTTGTTGTGGGTGTGGTTAAATGTACATAAAAATTGCCCTTTTAATCGTTTTTAAGTGTATAGTTCTGTGGCATTAAGAATACATTCCATGCTTTGCTCTCAAAGGCATTCTAAAGATAACAGCTTGCTACTTAGACAGCATTATATTAAAAATGTGCAAATAAATTGTGTTTGTGTATTTTCTCACCAAATGGTAGAGAATCAAGTGATTTTCATGTGGGACATGAAGTGATAATTGGACCCAAAGCCAGAAGAGGAAGGTGCGTTTTTTTAGTAGGCTAACTAAAAATAAGTAGGCAAACGCTGAAAGTCAGGGTGGCGGTAATGATCGGGTACAGCCGGCGGGCGAGGTAATTAACGCTCATTTCTACATCCCCACCAACGTGTCTCTTGATTCTCTGATATTTCTACAACTTGGTAAGAAGAAACTGATTAATATTTCATACTCTTTATTTTCCTTCATTGAAGAATGAATTGTTTGCAGGTTGAGAGTGTGGCTTTTTAGGTGAGCCATCCTCATTGTATTTGATTATCAGATAAAGATAATTTCACGAAAAGCAAAATTTCTCAGCTATTGAAAATTACATCAGATATCTTTTTTCATTACTTTCATTTTGTAAAGCATTATATTCAGACAAAGCATGTATTCAGAAATACTTCTGTGAGAGAAGTTAGCTAACTCTAAAAGCATTCAGATGTAACTTGATAAACATTTGTTTGTACTTGCTACCAAAATGGTAAAATAAAAAGAACAAAACCCAAAACTACACGCAGAACCGCATACAGTATTCTGCGGAGCCACGTGGAGGGCCAGGGGACTTGACCCTGTCTCTCTGGTAGATCTCCTGTGTCAGGCATATCTGTCCCGCTGTGTGGGGTGTCCTGCGTCTTTGCGGGCCCACAGGGGAGCCACCAGCCGCCTGCAGCTACAGCACTTGAAATGTGACTAATGGGACTGAGATTTTATAAAGATTATTTAGCTTGAATTTTTTCTAGGTAGCAGATGTGCCTGCTGGCCACCGTGTGGGCCGTGCAATCTCACGAAGCAGCAAGGAGAAGAACTTCGCCCTGGAACGGCGTGTTTGCAGCCTCGTGTTCACGTTAGTGTTTTGAAACAAAATTGTAATGGCCTGTTTACCCCTGATGACTTGGAAAATGGGTTTTCCAGAGATTTGGTGCCTTGCTGCAGATAATGTTTCCAAGAAGTGATCCCTTATTTTAAAAAGTTCAATTGACCTGATCGTGGTTTTAAGTCTTTTTTTTTTTAAGTGTATTTATCTTGAGAGAGAGAGAGCATGTGCATGTGTGCGTGCGTGCGTGCGTCAGGGTGGGGCAGAGAGAGGGAGAGAGAATCCCAAGCAGACTCTGTGCTGTTAGCACAGAGCCCTGTGTGGAACTCAGACTCACAAACCATGAGATTGTGACTTGAGCAGAAATCAAGAGGCGGAGGCTTAACTGGCTGAGCCACCCAGGTGCCTATGATCATGATTTAAGGTTTAAATTTGTGACATTTTACCTTCCAGGGCTACAGAGGTGTCATAATTATTTCTAGTGATTCCATGAAGCTGTAAGTTAATATCTGATTGTTCGAGCTTCTAGTTTGGGGAGTCTAGGAGAAGAAAGTGGGCATGGGGCACCTGGGGGCTCAGTCGGTTAAGCATCCAACTTGTGATTTCAGCTCAGGTCACGATCATGCGGTTTGTGGGATTGAGCCCCACCTCGGGCTCTGCCAACAGTGTGGAGCCTGCCTGGGATTTTCTCTTTCTCTCAAGATAAATTAAAAAAAAAAAAAAACTAACAAACTTTAGGTTTAAAATAAAAATGGGTTCTTACAGTATCTCCTTGGGGAGTCAGACACCTGGTGAGTAGGATTTCTGTGTTTCTAACAGAGACTGTGCATCGTGGGCACCTCGCAGACCAAAGGTATGACTTCTGCTTAAATGCTTATATTATTTTCATGTAAAAAATTATTTGCATGTATTTCCCAACTGAAATTAGGTGTTGAGATTAAAAAGCTTTTAAGTTATAGCCTTAGAACGTTTATAGGATTATGCCAAATGGTGGAAGAATTTCTTGTTGAGTAGTAACGTAGTAAGTGAATTTAGGTTTTATTCCAGAATAAAGTTTAAGGTAGAGTCTCTATAGAATTGTAATTCTCCAAGGCTCTTAAACAAAAATCTGTTTTAAAAAATGTGGCAAAAACCACATTTTATGTACTATAGTGAGATTTCTTGCCTTGTGACTTATGTATTAATGAAAACCTGAAAAGCATTAAAAGTTTTTTTGTATTTTTATCTATTTCAGGGAAGTAGTTTAGGCTTTATAGACAAACCTAGCACAAGCATACACCTGTTATATCTGGAAGGGACATTATCTAGAGG